ACAGATGGCAGGGACGTCGCAGAAGGATATAATCTCAGCAGGGCCTCATCAGAAGCATAGTGTTGGCTGAGGGCGAAAGAGCATCAGATGTTGCCAATGGTAACTGGTCCATTGGACCACAAGATGACAAATTGGATTAGGGGCCTACCCGACCCACATCTTAGGAAAAACGTATGGCTGTTCTCCGCTGCTGATCTGCATAGATCAACGGCGGATATCGTCTGCCCGTTTTTCTTATAGAAATGGGGTCCTGGCTGATCTTTGCCGCCGATCTGCGACGGTCGGCGGCCAAGATTGGCCACTTTCTGTACTTGAAAAATTCGGGCCTACAGGACCCGGTTTCGAAATTGCGGGGCAGGTCCCGCCCCCACGAGGCCTTGGGAACACATACGCGCCGACAAAAAAAAAAAATCAGCCCTCAGCGAAAATGCGCTGGGGGCAACCGGGAGGGAACCGGCCCGGGCCACCGGCCGGTCCAACCGGAAGGACCGCGGATGGGGTAGGGGTCCCCGGTCCATCCGGCGACCAGCCCTGATTTAAATTTATAAAGTTATTATGCTATCTTTAACTTAGTCCTAATTATCATATCAAGTGGATCATTTGCCGGGTTTTGGAGGAAAAAATCTGCTTAGGTCTGTCTCTGGCTGTGAGAATGAATAAAGAGTCCTTTGCAAGTTCCTGGTCAGATAAGTCCTCCCATACAGAGATGGCTTTCTGCCAAAATCTATCCGCGCGTGCTGGCATTCGACATGACAAGGCGTCAAAGATTCCTTTATTCTCAGGTCGCGCATCTTGAAAAGTGGTGAATCCCCCCCCTCTGTTCTCCGACTTTCTTTCCGCCAGTGATCCAGCCATTACTTTCCAGGGACCACTTGATAAATGAAGAGCCAGTGCAGAGACCTCTGCCCTTCTGGGGGCGGTTAGAATCGTAGAAACCCCAAGATAAGTGCTTCATCTGATCCGGAGGGGTTTGAATGTTGCGCTCTCGCTGCAGTTCCGCAATAGTCTGTGCCGTGTCTGCTGAATTTTCTCTGAGCTGGTAACCTCTATTCACGCCAAATTCTGCACTGTGGACCTTATATTCTCGTATCGTAAAACAAGTCTGGAAGGGTCCCCTCTTTTTTTTGCTGGGTCAAACTCCAGATCTTCGTCATCCTGGTCCACCCTATACAGAAGAGGCAATTCTGCTTGTGTCCTGGTCTGCCCTGTGCTTCACCTATTCCTTTTCCTGCCCCTTCGCTTCCTTTTCATCCCTTTTCTCTTGGCAGTTTCCGGCGGTTTCCTCAATGTCCATACCATCTGTAACTGATGGGTGCTAAACTCTGAAGGAGTAAGCCCCACCTCAAGTGTTTCCACCGAAGTATTGTTTGTCCTCTAAGACCTTGCTGCGGCCGTTTGGTGGTAAAAGGATGACTTTCAAATCAATCTGCAGCCTACCCCGGGTGTCGGACATATTTGCCTCTCATCCTCTTCCTGAGTGCCGGACATATATGCCTCCCATCCTCTCCAAGTACAGTCCCATACGGAGGTCCACTCTGCCTCTAGGCCTACCGGACATAGAACACCTACTGTCTTCACCCATACCGCTGCATCTGGACCTAAAGTTGTGCCAAATACAGCTATAATGACCGGGCGTTCTATTCGGGTGAAGAGGGTGGTCCTCTTCATACCTGCGCAACAAATTGCGAGTCTGTATGTGCAGCGCTTACGCTTTCTGAAAGCAAACTTACATACCTGGCCAACAAAATCCCGCTTTTCACAAGTCTATCTTTCCTGAGGCCTTAGATCAGATCATCGAGACACGAAGTTTAATGGCCAGCACAGCACATTGGGATGCAGAGAGTTTTAGATAGCCTGAAATAAGGCCATACTTTGATGCCATCCACTTGGGCCTTCCAACCATCACGGGGAGGAGCACAGGGCGAGCACAAGATGTTTTGTTCGACTTGTCGGTGCAATAGGAACCGAACTGATGCTCCCCAGAATGGACAAGGAGCCAAAA